TAATAAATAAGAATTTTATATTTTTAAATAAAATTAAAATTAAAAAATAAACACTTTTTTCAAAATTTCTTCGATTTTTCAATAATATTTTAATTTTTTTGTCCTATTTAGGGCTTTGTGTAAGTAAGTTAATTATGCTTTAAAAATAATTCAAGTTAAATTTGTTAAAAAATATATTGTAAATAAATAAATGGTCATGTTTTTTTAAATTAAAGAAGTGATTTTTACATAAATGAAGTTGAGTTGGGTTAAGAGGAAACTGTAAACAGATTATTACGTGTTGTCGGTGCACATTTTTTTTGGGTGTTTTATTTACAGTGCAAAATGGGGCAGATCTCATTTAACACGCTTAGCAACACCATCATAGCCTTTTGGAGCAGCAAACACCGTTGAAAATTTATAAAAAAAAGGGGTCACGGATCTTCGGGCGTTGAATGGTGATGCTGCAAATGGGATGCCAATCATTGTTTTTGGCTGTAAAAATCTTTGGGGAAAATTTTTATACTTCCAGTCGTAAATCACGCATGCATTTCTCAACAGTAGTTCAACCGTTGCACATTCCTTTTTATTGCGCATAATAAAAAAAAACATACTGGATGATTATCACCCGAAGAGAAGAAGACCACAAAAGAGGAGCAAACCCCAAGATGAAGCTGGATGTATAGTTATAGGATGATGTAGAGAGAGAAGGAATGGTTGTAGGTTGAGGTTCAGAGAGTGAGAGACAGGAATAAAGAATGAGTATAAAAAGGGAGCAGAATGAAGAAAGGTCCTTCGAATGTGAACATAAGTAGAGTTTTCTGTAAGAGTTTCACGCCTATTGCGGTCACAATGCCGCAGGGGTTTTCCAAAGACCAAAGGAGGCGGCGGAGGCGGCTGCTCTACGCATTGTCCGGTGGCGGCCGTCAACGGCCCCGCGGCCCCCGTGATTTACGACCTTCGGCGGTGGTCAAAAAAAACTTCTCTCTTTTCATCTCTTTTCCCCTCATATTTTTTCTCCACCATCCTCATCTTTGATTTACAACTTCTCATCTTCGTCCAAATGAAAAATATGTATTCCGAAATGAACTTGCAGCTTTTGCGGCATAGCCTAAAACAAAAAACCGCACCAAAAACTGACCTCCGAAACATCCCCAGAAACGAGAAAAAAAAAAGGGAGCACAAAGCAGGCGCCGACCTAGTTATTAACATACATCAAACAAAACACTATAGACGTAAAAAAATTAAATAATAGAAGGAACTTAAATGGGAAACTGGTTGTGTAATTGTTTCATGATTTACGCTGATCTCTGTGAGATTCGATTGGATTCAAGGGCGAGAGAAGTAGGTGTGATATTTACGAAATCCTCGGGGTTTACACGCTTGTTTTGCTGGTCTTAACGGGATTACACGGATACTGAAGGGATTATCCGATCAACCCTTTTTCTCTCTCTTTAAACCTTTCAGCGTTCGCCGACGTTCGAGGGAAAAAACATTGTTTGTCCGGTTGGCAAACATCAATACACCCGCAGAATCGTCTTCCACTAAATGTATCGTAAATTCATGCAAATTTAATTAAAGAGTTTGGGGTTTTTTTTATTGCCTCCGCTTTTGTAGTTCCTCTTGTCGTAAATCGTCGGTGCCTTTTTGGCATTGTTGCAGAGGTCAATAGTGAAGCGATGATGTACCGGGAATTTGAGTTTTTTTTGCAGAGACAAGATTTAAATGCGATTAAAAATTAAGCTACTCTTGTTTGCTTTTATGGATATGCATATTTTCTTGTAAAGATTTTCGAGTGGTATAATAAATTTATTATTTAAATCCGTTTATATCTAAATTGGTTAAAGAGTTAAATGTTAAATTATTTAAATAAAAAATATTTTTGTTATCAATTTGGTATTTAAATTTGAATTTAATTGGTTTTTTGTATCATAAATTCTATACGAAAGTTGAGAGTAACAGAATTATCTAATTAAATTATCCTAAAAAATGGAGAAAAAAAAATCAATATAAAACAAATTATAAAATACATTATTGTATCAAAATGTAGTTAAAATGTATATGTAAATAAAATATAATGTTAATTAGAATCTATTGTTAAATTATTTAACAAATACATTTTTTTTGGTGTTCAAATTTGAATTTAATTCCTTTTTTGTATCAAAAAATTATATACAAAAGTGATGAGAAACAGAATTATCTAATTAAATTATTCTAGAGAATGGTAAAAAAAAATATAAAACTACTTTATTGTATCAAAATGTAGTTCAAATTTATATTTATATAGAATATAAAAAAATTTCATTCCGATTTAAAAATTTCAAAATAAATTCTGAAAAAATTAGTACAAAAATTATTTCTTTATACAAATTTGATTGAGATATTTCTATTTGATTAGTCTGGTTTCAAACAGTACGGAATATTGACGGAAGACAGGAATTGTTGGATTGAACGATTATTTAATAAAAATATGAAAATGTTATTAATTTAAGTAATATTTACATGATTAATACTACAAATAGAGTTAACAAAATATGGAATTGTTTAATTTGTAACTACAAAAAAAAATCATAGTTTATAGACAATAAATAAAATCCATTAAAGAAAAGTGAGAAATGCGAAACAAAAATGTATAATGAAAACGTGGCTGTTTCGTAATTGGTGGACAAAATAGGGTTTACATCGAAATCCCGACAATCAAATTACAGACATTCGAAATCTCGACATAGTGAAAATCCCGACAGTATAAAAATCCCGAATATTTTAGCAAATTTTTGACAATCCTCATGCAAATTTATCAATGCGCCATATTTATTTGTATATTGTAGTTATTGTCGGGATTTCGAATGTCGGGATTTTGATTATTTGGTTGTCGGGATTTTTAATCGGACTCGGATAAAAACATTTAAGAAGAACGTGTGTGCTAATAATGTAAACATTTTTTTTATTTTAAAAAAGTAATGATTTACAATTTCTAAAAAAATATTTTAAAATATTATAATTTTCGTCATCAACTTCAAATTTTATATAAAAACCAATAATAACAAAATAGATTCTACTAAAATGATGATTTTTTCAAATAATAAGCATTCATATAACAATTATAAAAAACAAACACATTGTAATAATTTAAACATTTAAACAATTTAGTTAGAAAACTGCAGAAAAAAATCGAATACAAATACAATATTTTTTCTGTCCCCCCGCCTTATTTTTTTTGTTAATTATGTAACTTGTTAAATGAACTGTTAAATATAATATTATATTTTATTTCCGTCCTTATTTAAATCACCTTTTTTTGTCGAAACATGGAAGAGACGTTTAGGGTGTTGGATAACACCACATTTACAATATAATGGTCTTCGGTCTTCTGTACCTATGCTGATGGCACAATACCAAATCGTCCGGAAACTCCTGTTCCCTTCATGCTTCAATTCCTTTTCTTTCTTTCCGTTGCAGCTCAGCTCCCTGTTTAAATCCTGTATATGCAAAAAAAGGTCCTTACAAAATATATGTTTTGATATTGAACTCAACTAACATTATAGAAATTTCATTGCTATAAAATCATTAATGATTAATTATAATCAAATATTTTAGTATGAACATTTTTCACTAAAAAAATATAAATTTTATTGGTCCAAATTGTCATATAACAATAAATGAATTACAGATTTTTTGTTTTAAAACATTTATAGTCATTTATTTACTTCCTGAGAAAAATATGTAAATCAAAATTGTAACTTATTGTATGTAAAACCGTGTTAATCGAAAAGTATTAAAAAAACGCATAATTTCGTTGTTTATTAAATATGATTTATTTTTTCATTTTTTTTTATAAAGTACATAAACCAAACAAAATATTGAATGGCAAAAAAAATGTTAACAATAATTTTTGTTTAAACCGTGTAAAAAAAGAGAACGTTTAAAAAAGTACAAGGGATTGGTTATTTTCATCAATTGTTTTTAATTTAACGTTTTTTGTAACAGTGTAAAGAAAGTACCGTGTAAAACGAGTGAAAAAGTTTTACTAAAATTAAATAACGTAAGATTACTAAAATATTAATAATTTAAACGTGATTGAATTGTATCATTTAAATTAAATCCAATGGTCTTTAAACAGTGTAAAAGCGAAACCGCGTAAAAAAAGTTCTGTGTAAAACAAGTGATATGTAGAAACAAGTTTTACGAAAAGGATGTAACGTAAGATTACTAAAATATTAATAATTTAAACGTGATTGAATTGCGTCATTTAAATTAAATCCAATGGTTGTAAGAAGTTTTTCTAATTAAAAATTAAATCCTTCTTGTGTGTATATGTATATATATCAAATGGAGAAGAAGAAAAAAACTAATTAGGTGTAATAACTGGGTTTAGTGGGAATCTAGAGGAGGTTTGAACGCCGACTGATATATTGTCGATCAGATTATTTCGAAAAGAAAATTAACAGATTGAGGATAATTGTATACTTCTCGTTATAATTAAATCACATTTACGTAATTTCTGTATATTTGCACATAAATTTGGTCACGATTCTTGTGTGTTTTGAAATATATATTTATAATTAATTAATTTCTAATATATAATCAATAATTAAAATCGTCTTCAATCTAAATATAATTTATTGCTTTATATAAACCTTATAAATTTATAAGAAAAGTAGTTAACAAAATTAAAATAATTAAAAAACATAATAAACAATATGTATTTTCTAATTAAAACTTTAAGTTTTTCATAAAACTTTAGAAAATTACGATAATTTTTGAATAAAAATTTGATGAAAAATATATCAAATTTTTATTTTTTTATTAAATTTTAATTTATTTTAGTTTTTCTCATATTTAAACTCATAATGTTAAAAATTTGAAGATAATATGAAGAATATTGTTGAAGATTTATTTACTTTACAAACTTTTTTTTGTTTTATTTACAAATTGCTTTTTTTAAAAATATTTTCTAGTATTTTTTATTGGAATCAAGTCCGTCAAATTTCAACATAAGAATTTATATTCAGTTCCTTTTGCTATTTTTGGAGAAGTCTTCAAAATGCATGAATTATTTTTGCAATTTGCGGGCAATTGAATTGGTTTTAAACATAAGGTGATAATAAGATTAGGAGATGGCGATTTCAATAATAAAACAAAGAATAGGTATGTTACGTTTTTATAATACAAAAATCCATATGTTGCAGGCAAATTATTCTTGCTTTTTACTATGTAAATACTATGTATCTTCGGACAAATAGCTTTCTTTATACTCATTTATATGAGTATGATTCCTAGGCAAATAATATTTGCAATATTATATAATTAGGTAATATTAGTTAATTATTTATGTAATTGTTTCTTCAAATTTTGCAAATTATATATATTAAATCTAACTTTGAATTCAGAATATAGTATCTTTTTAAAATACTGAAATATTTGTCTAAGACTTTAATTATTTAATTAATAACTTTATTAATAAAAGCTAGTATTTTCTAAAACAAAATCTATTTGCCTGCAACTTGTACAACTGTATAAATAATCAAATTTTGTTTAGTGTATTTGTAGGAATGAAATACGTCTGATATTGTCTATCAATTATGTAATTAATATTGGTGGGTATAAACTAAATTAATAATAAGAATTTTTATTTTGTTTTTTTTTTCAGTATTTTCATGAGTACTTCCGTCAAATCCAGATGTTGTTGTTTTTATTTAAGAGTAAAATTGAAACAAAATTGATAATAAGTGTTTATAATCAATTTCTTTTGGTATTTTTACAGGAATACTCTAAAAATGCATCAAATATTATTGCATATTTGATAAATTGCAACAAAAAAAATGTTAATGAGTGTAAGAATTGAAATAAAATGTAGTTACTAAATTTGTAATTACTTGTCTAGAAACGAAAATTATAATAAGTGAAAAATGAGAAGAATATTGAGAGTAAAATTGAAACAAAATTGATAATAATTATTTAAAATCAATTTCTTTTGGTACTTTTATAGGAATACTCTAAAATTTAAATAAAATGTAGTTACTTCTTTGTGAGTAATTAATATTGATATTAAACTTGTCTATAGTAATCAGTTTCTTTTAGTATTTTCAAGAGTCACAAATTCATCAAATATTATTACTTTCTTGTAAGTAATTAATATTTTGATTGTAATTACGTGTTTTATAATGTGATAATAAATGGTAGACAATCTATATGAGGTAATGGTTTCTTTTTTAAGAGCTTTGTTTTTGTATTATCATCTGGATAGAATGCATGAATTGTTGTTGTGTATCGGTCGATTGGGTAATGGATATTGAGAGTGGAATTGGGTGTAAACGAAGGTGATAATAAGAGCAGAAGATGGTGATCAGATCGAGGAGACGAAGTGTGATGCAATAATGAAAGTGTGCGGGGATTTCGGTCAAGCATTTGGTACCATAATGATGGTTATTGGCAAAAGGCGTTTTGTCGCATCTCGTGATTAAAGTCCCCAGGCTTCGGCCAAGAGAAGAGAGTGCGAGTGAGATAAGCGAGATAGAGAGAGATGTACCAAAAGAGTGGCGGTACACCATTCTGTGCGTTCGTTCGGTTCGGATGGGTTTAGATGAAGAGGGGATGGGTACGTTTTTGACCCCATGAAGCCCTTAGGGCCTACTTGGGTCACTTGTCGCGCAGACATCGTGCGCAGTCCCGCCCCTAAACACAGTGATCGTCATCATTTCAGCCTCCTAGAACTCAGTTATTAGTTCACCGCTTAAGTGTCCGCAATGATGGCTTCTCCACAACTGCACCATCATCATCAACATCAACATCTTCAGCACCACCAGCAGTACACGGCGAATGCGCAATCGCAGGTGCGTTGATCTATAATCATAGTAATCAACTCGGACACCCCCTCATTAAATATTACGATTTTATTAATGTTTTTCTCCTCTCTTAACTCTTAAATTGCTACCTCACCATTCGCTGCTACACACACTCATACGTCCAATCAATAAACCAATTTGGATGCGAATTATTTATACTTATTTCTTTATTTGTTCTTTTGCAGATCTCATCTCTAAATCTAAGGATGTACCATCATCATCAACCATACGCGCATCCGCAAGTCTCACCGGCTTCGACGACTTCATGCAGCAGCGATGGATACGTTCCCCAGGTGCCACTGGAGGCGCGTTCCCCTCTGGAATACTCACCGCATTACCAGAACCCGTATGGTCACAACCAGTACTGGTTTCAGCATTCGCCGCCCCCAGCGGATACCGCCACAAGTGGTTTTCAGCCGCAAACGCCGGCGAACGTGCAGAGCCAATACCAGTGGTCGACGCAAAACCCGTACGTGCCCTTCACATATCAACCAATCATCAAACCGGAGACGTTAT